TGGTCATTTGGGAGCATTGGAATTCTCACCTACTCCTTTGTTTGCTCTTATACTGCATGGTAACTAAACACAAGACACGGTTCTTAATCATTGGCAACTATCTTGACGTACTGACGCACGACTATTATTGACATTTAAAGTTGTCTGAGGGTTTACCACATTCTGTAGGCAAAAAATTTTCGTTCCCGGGAAAATGGGCTGGAATGTAACATTTTTGCTTTGAACAAAAAATTTGGTGCCTAGGCTAAGTATACTTTTTTTAAGTCAAATGTTTGACCGTTCGATACTATATCCCAGGGCACAACGTTCTCGACGAAAAGATCACAATTTACGAGCTGAAAAAGTCTCATAGGATTGGAAAAGGTCGTCAACTTAGCTAATAGACTCGAATTACCAAACAAGATTAAATTTTAATCAAGCTTAAAATGACTTGGTGAATATGTCAAAATATAGACATAAAGAGCATTAGAGGAAGGCCATATTTAGGTTAAATTTTACGCAAGTCTGGTGCTCATACAACCAGAAAGTTTGAATACCAGTCAAGTCTTAGTTTTGATAAAACAGGCTAACTTTCTTCATGAAAAAAAAATAATTATACGATTAAAATTTTGTTTCAAGATCACTTTGTTGTAAATTTTGAAGAAGAACTGTCTGCAAGCATTATAGTACAACCTTCTTTCGTCAGATTAGCTGACCAAATCCTTTACCAGTGCATTCAGAAACCTCAAATGGATTAAGTTTGGCTTGATTATCACAATAATTGTTTGAAAACGGATAAAAAAATTTTCGGGCGAGTATGTAAATTAAATCGATAGAAAACTCGTAGGAACGCAGGTACATGGCAACACGGTGAATTTACAATGATTGGGTCTGAATGAACGAAAGGTTCCCTTTTTCCTTTGGTGTTTCATGGTTATTGACAAAACTGCGTATTTGCAAAGTTTATTTTGTGCTCAATATCCAGGGTTTTTTTACGCAATTGGGACCAGATTACCCTAGTGTACCTTGTGTTATTGCTGACACACCTTGCTCACGATTGGTTCTTCAATCTTTTTGGAAGCTCGAGAGTGATATTAGTATTCAATGTAAAAGGTTTTAAACTCTCCATGAGATAGATCAAATATAACCTTTATTGATCTATGAATGCCTCCAGATATTAAAAGAGCTATAGAGATCATTCACCAAAATCTTATTTAAGTTTTCTCTATCAAGACTATTACTGTTGACATTCTGCTTAAATTACTCAAAGGAAGAACAAAACTCAATTACATGTGTGACATCTCAGATATTAAATTGATCGACTTCACAGTGATTTCTTCTTTCTCTATTGCCTACAGCCTTTAACCAGGTCGTCTGATGCATTCATTGTGGTATCATTTGCATTATATTTCAATGCTATTATCAAAAGCAGTTATTCCATTGATAGACAGCCACTGAGCTGTCCATGCCTCAATAGACGTTTGCATAAAGCTAAATCTGTCTTAGTAATGAATGGTGGCTTTCGTTATGACTTCTTAGGGAGACTCTTTATTTCCGGCAAAAACGGACAAATTCAACTGAAATAAATACTTCACAATCACAATTAAGTTTATATGCATTCTATGTACAAAGTGATCTGCTTCTAGGATGAGTTAAGACTACGAACTGATGTGATCTGTTTACGACTGTCCTGATAGTGTACCCACAATCCCAAAAGAACGGGCATTGATGCGTCAGCATTTAACCACGTTCCGTATAACCTGAATGTACCCTATCTATAACGATCTAGTCAATTACTAGAATCATTGGACCAATAGGTCAATAAGCTATAAAATCAAGTCATTTTATCAGGCTTATCTATTCTATTATTACCCTCCAGATCTCATTTGATACTGTCTCAATTTGTCTATAAAACCTATCGTCACAGCTTGTAGGTTGGAATTTAATATTCGACATTAAGCAATTGGACAAGTATCTATTCGTAGTTCCTGAAAGTTCCTTTTTCAAAATCATGGGTGTGACGTCTAGGAAGGGTATATCAAATTGTAAGCAATTCTGCCATCGACAAATGCTTTAGGTGTTGAATCATGATACAAGTGCATTTTTGTACGTGTTATGGTTTGGCATGCCTTTGACTGAAAGCATTGGAAGAGGCTCAGTCAGTTGGAATATTATAACGTTATTTGTTTGGTTTCGTTAACATCCACGTCCACCCGATCGTTCCATTACCCATGTTGTTAATGATTTTGATGAAACTAGAAACTACCAAAGATCTTTTCGATTACCAGTAATTAAAAAAAAAAACAATTTACAATGTTCACTTAAATGAATACAGTTAAGTAATAATGATATTAATTTTCATATTAATAACCATTAACATGTCTTTATTGAAAAAAAAATTACTGTTTTAGCTGACAAGTGATGTCAGTGTACATTATGTGAAATCGGAGTTATTTGTTATCCTGCTCAGTACATTACTGCCATCTGATATCTCATCAAGGACTTCGTATCGCTGAAGCAATTCATAAAGAATGTATGATTAATATCATATAACATTACAATTGAATGGACATCAAATTTTAAACGTAGATTAATATGATTATTAAGTATCAAGCCGCGAAAGAGATCGTTACCTTCGATAAAATCGAGAATTAATCTTAGGATATCACATATTGTAAACCCATTACATCTCCCACAAGACCATTTATCATTTCCCAGATCTATTCTCTTTTTAATCTATTTATTAGTGGCCTTGTCATTTTATCACTTCTGAAAAACTCCAAATAGCAATCTTTCACCTACACATTCAGACGAACACGGATTCTCCTCCTTCATTATGGAGCCACATATTTGTGATTTAGCGTTATAAAGTTCTCTCGCTGTTCCAACAATTCCAATGAACTATTATATGACAAACATCGACTCATACTTGTTAATCATTTTTTCTGAAGTAGTTCTGATTTATAGATTATAATCTCTAGAACTAACACAACACCTGAAATTCAACTTTAATATAATTCTTTTCTATAACCATTTTAACACCAAACATCTCAAAACCCTTGTTTTTTGTTCCTTGCTACATGACCTCGACCGGTGCTTTTTTGAGAAGACTATTCTTATCCTCATACCCTCACTCAAACACTACGAGTCCTACTACACAAGATACCATACTACACGAATTATCATAGGAGACCAAATGGTTGAGATTTCTTGAGGAAATTTACCACGTTTATGCAACACACCCATTTTATGTTCCTTTGAAAGTCCATTTATCACCCTTCTGCTAAATAGGTGAAATACCTTGTTGCTTGAAAATGTTTGAGTCAAACTCCAAAATTCAAGATTTCTAACCATTAGTCGTAGTTACATATATCGATAACCGTGAAAAAAATCCGAAACAGATATGAGGATTTTTTTCTCGGTTATCGATATATGCAACAACGAGTATTTGAAACAATCTTGATTTTTGGGGTCGTGGAGCATCTATGACAAATTAAATCAAAACTTACAATCAGACATCAAAACACAAATTTCTAATGTACGTCAATATATTAATGTCTATTGAAACTCAAATAAATATTTCCGACATATAAAAATACATTTTGCTTGAGCTATTTTGAATAAACATGTGTATTTCGTGTAATAACAGGCTATTTCTGTATACGACCTTATCACAAATCCTTTAATAATATCTCCATCTTCGGTAACCATTTACGTATCAAAAGATGATAAGAATCAAAATTAATCATATCATAAATAGATCGTGTTAATCAAATTTAAAAGCTAAATCTTGTAAACGTTTCAAAACGAATTTACTCAGTTATAAACTAATTTGATTCGTGTTGCTCGGGAAGCTTCTAAACTGGTGTACTTACAAGGATCGCAGTTGATCCCGTATGCAATGTTCAGAATGTGCTTCAGAAGATTATCGCATCTCTGGGTGATTTCAAAGTTGTCACAATTTCTTATCCATGCTGCTTTACTATTTTGCGTCTTGTTTCTCCACTTTGTGGAGTTACCCAAGGACTCCTTTTGTTTTACCCCCCTGGGCACCACCAACTTTGAAATCAGACTGGTGTTAACCTCTAGAAAGTCCTTTTAATTTCATGAGAACAAACATTAGTTGCAGTTTAGCTCAACAACAAGTTAACACCTAACAACATAAAGTCTTTAAATGGCATGTAGCAATTGTGAGTACGATACATAGACACAGCTTCTTGGAACAACAATCACTGGTTAAAGTTTTATGCAACGTTTCGACGTGTTTCCCCCGTCGTCCTCAGACACATGTCAACATAGAAACGTTGCATAAAACTTTAGCCTGTGATTGTTATTTCGATATGGGTGTTAGTGTTGGTGTCAACACCCAACACCTAATTTGAAATGGGATAAAACCAACACCAGGTGTTAACACCAAAACCCTGCTCGATTTCAATATGGGTGTTGAAATAGGTGTAAGTGTTGGTATTAACACCAACTTTGAAGTCACCCACTGTCAGTGGTTTCTATGGTGGTTCATTTAGGCTCCCGTGTTTTACTATTTATGGAGATATTCAATATTAAATTCACAATCTACCAACTATTACATTCTCAAGTAGATGTTGGGAAATAACTAACAGTTACAAATGCATCAGATTACTCTTAACAAATCAAACTGCGTAAAAACAAGAGCAGAAAACCAATAAACAAATAAAGCTGAGTGTCAATTTTCGCAATAAAATTTACTTTAATATACATTGCATGTTAGCAGTAGATTGTTAATGTTACTAATCATTACTCAGCAAATTTTAGGGTGCACAAAAGCTTTTGATGTGATGAATTATATGTATAGTGACTTTTTTTGGTGGTCGGTGGCTAGAAATAAAAGATATGTATTACTATTATATTTCCATGGGGAACATTCAGATGTGTAATAAGGGTGCTTTCATGAGAATATATGCGAAATGTACAGTATGGTGAAACCATGTGGTTAAATGAGAGATGTACAGTATGATGAAACCATGTAGATAAATGCGAGATTTTCAGTATGTTGAAACCGTGTAGATAAATGCGAGATGTACAGTATGGTGAAACCGTGTAGATAAAAGCGAGATGTACACTATGGTGAAACGATGTAGATAAATGCGATATGTACAGTATGGGTGTAACCATGAGAATAAATGCGAAAAGTACACTATGGTGAAACCATGCGGATAAATGCGAGGTGTACAGTATGGGTGTAACCATGTACATAAATGCGAAAAGTACACTATAGTGAAACCATGCAGATAAATGCGAGGTGTACAGTATGGGTGTAACCATGTGAATAAATGCGAAAAGTACACTATGGTGAAACCATGCGGATAAATGCGAGGTGTACAGTATGGGTGTATGGGTGTAACCATGTAACTAAATGCGAAAAGTACACTATGATGAAACCATGCAGATAAATGCGATATGTACAGTATGGGTGTAACTATGTGAATAAATGCGAAAAGTACACTATGGTGAAACCATGCGGATAAATGCGAGGTGTACAGTATGGGTGTAACCATGTGAATAAATGCGAAAAGGACACTATGGTGAAACCATGCGGATAAATGCGAGGTGTACAGTATGGGTGTAACCATGTGAATATATGCGAAAAGTACACTATGGTGAAACCATGCGGATAAATGCGAGGTGTACAGTATGGGTGTAATGCAAGATGGTTTAATGATGTGGCCAATCATGTGTCATATATGCATTATGAAATAACCCTGGATATAAAGGCGATATGTCCACTTTGGGTGTAAATATGTGAAAAATGCGAAATGTACAGAACAAGATTGTAGTACTGTCGTTTTCATGTTATAATGATGAAAAAGTAATTTCCCTAAAATACAACGCCATAGATGTACACATAATCCAAGCAGTTACTTACTTTAATTTGAAATGTCAACTTCAAAAGGGAAAAAAATTCTAAGAAATACATGGTAACTTGACATTTTCTGTAAATTACCAGTCCCTTTGCGCAACATAGTTAACAAAAGATAGGACATGTTTGGGATCTCAAAGCAATTACGTTCCTCCTTTGTCATGCGATGTTAAAGTCATACGTCATTTCTGGAAGATGCATATAAATCACCATTTTAAAGCAGAATGTGACTTGAATTGTATAACATAATTGTAATCGAGCTAGTTAATAAATCTTTCACCAAAATAAAAATCTATTGTACAACATGCTAAAAGTTGATCTTGCATCAAAAACCTCTTGTAGATACTACCTCATAGTATTACTCATGAATATTGCACAACAAAGCACTCAAAATTGATAATCCTTCCACTTAAATTTAACAAAACTCAAATTTTTTGACAACTGGGTTAGTTTTAGTCAGTTTACTTAACCTTACATACCCCTCTTTTCAAGGAACTAGCTAAATTTTCAAATAGTTTTGGACAGTTTAGTAGGAGCCCATCTTTAACTAAGATCACGTAAATCACGAAGTTGAAACCAATAAAGACGAGCTTAAACTGATGTCAAAGGCTGGTGTCAAAATGATTTGCTGAAAGCTTTTGATTAACTGACGTATGCTCATGTAGCAAACTGAATCACTGTACTGATGAATTACAGTCAGCGATGTAATAAGGGTGGCTAACTGACTACTTTCCATTTTTAACAAGGATTGATTGCACATGATTAAATTTGATTGCCTACCAGTGAGTTATTATTTGTGCTGCTTTGAATCTGAGAAATAAGTGAATGAGAAGAAATGATCATTAGTGGCCATACTAGGGAAAGATTATAAATCTTTCTAGGCTCTAGTCAGCTGTATATGACGGCTAATCAATGTACATCAATTCAACAAGGTGCTAGTTATGGTTTTTATTCTCTTTAAATAACTACAATCGAAACTTCGCAATTTTTACTAGACGGTTCCATTAAAGTCTGAAAGAGATATGGCCAACCCATTTTCTCCTTAGTAACTCTGAGCTATATAGTAATGCTATGTTTAGACTTGTACTAAGTTGTCCTGTGTGCTCCCAAGTTATTATCAAATTCTAATTTAATAGTTTTATTGCGTCTGGAGATGAGAAGCTAATACCAGTTTCTATCGTTTGAAACCGTACCTTAAATTTATACAAACAGTTACGTTTTTTTCAAAGTTGAAATTTGTTGTACATGTCAAAATTCAACGTTATACGTTAACACAATTTTCTTTTTTAGAATTGTTAAAACGCTGCTCCCGAGAGATGTCGGTACAAATTACTGCAACTAGTAACTAAATGGGGATAAACTGTGTAATGGTTAGGTTAAACCAACTACTCAGTTTCGAGATCTCTTCAACAAAATATAGGGATAAAACGATTATAAACCAAAGGCACCATATACTACAGGGTGTGCATGTTAAAGATCGAAACTTGCAAAAGCAGTAGGCTAATACCACCACCCTTGTTAAATTGTCGTCATTCATTCTACATGACGTTGTCCGTCGGCTTTAGTCAAAAAAAAGGTGCAGAAAATAGGACATAAAACATCATTTAATTTGTTGTGTTGTTCAGTAGACTGAAAGTAGGTCCTTATATCTAACAAAAAACAACTATTGACAGATTTCCTAGTAAAAATTGACTGGATAATCCGAGTGATGAGATCAATGGTTCGATCAGAATTAATGTTTCCTTACACCATCCTGTCTATACTTTCATATTTTCACCACAAAAAAATATTGTCATGTCTATACATTTTGAAAGGAATTTTAACTAGATTTTATTAAGAAAATTTAGAGTGAATAATTAACTGGAGATCGGTAGACTCATAATTTAAAATCAATGACCATTGATCATTGGTATCTTGTGAGGTAATTAAGTTGAATACCCAGTTAAATGGTTAATCTTAAAACCTCGCCTTATCTAGCAGATTTCGTATTTAAATATAAACTTCTGTCTAAATATAATAAAAAGGTGATATGAATACAACGAGTTTTTACCGGGGATCTATGTTAAGGACAATACAATACATCTACATGAATGAGTTTGACAAATATTGATATCAAAACAAGACATCAATTTGAACAAGTTTAACATTGAGGTCAATATATGTAAGCTTATTCAATATCAATATGAACGAGCTTGACAAATATTGATATCAATACAAGATATCAATTTGAACATGTCAGGCATATAACATGCCCCAATATGAACGAATTGGAAAAATATTGATATTAATGCAATGAGTTTTAAGATTGAGGTCAATAAAATACATGTAAGTTCACATCAACAAGTTTTATCCATATATTATTGATATCAATACGAGTTTTAAACGGTTATCCTATATTTATATAAACGAGTTCAAATAGTAACAGGATACAATATGGCAGAGATAGAAAATGGGCTAAATGAAAATAAATGGTCACGAGGATCCTGTCTATCAGCTAGTAAGGTGATCTAACATCTGTAATACAGTCGTATTAAATTGAACGAGAAAGGTTTTTTTCTGAATGATTAGGAACTTGACTAATTAGCGCTGACATCTTCTAGTTTTGGAGAGAAAGAAAATTCACATTTAGTGAGAAGTTAAAAAATCTCAAACTTGTTACTTTCTACATCATTAATTCCCTAAAGCAAACCTAAAAATATATCCAAAAAATCGATAGTCAAGGGCAATAACTCGAATATAAAACCCTTGACTTTCTGAAAAGACGTTTTTCATGACCCTTTCTTTGAAAAAGAGTTGCTAAACGGCGCCAGTAGAGTGAGTGTTTTTCGATTTAAGAGAAAATCTTAACGAGATTAGTGAAAGAAGATATCGGAGATTGTAAAGATCTGTAACAGTTGATAGACAAACAAAAGAAGATATAAAATGAAATAACTGATATTATATCAATCGTTGCCAAACTTTCTCAAAGTAATTTCTATCATGACTGAACGATCTGAATAGTCTGATATTGCATCTCCAATTTTATGATTTTAATCAAAACGAGCAGGAAAATAGAGGAAAACAAAGTAATATCTCTGATATTGAAGTGATTTCAATTGAAAGATGGTGTATAGCAATGATAATAATAATCAAATATAAATTTATCAGTTTACATTTTATTCAAGTGCTATATCGACAAAAGTGCTCATTGTGGGCAGAATCGAACTGCCTTCTCCTTTTTTTCTCTCCAGTGTTATGCTTCACAGTCCACTGCTTATCTAATGAAAATTTCCATTTGTGTAGAAGCATTTTGAAGGTTTTGGCAGCTCTAAATATTTTTACAAATCACAAGTTTCATTGCGTTTCAAGAAACCGTTAAAATCTTATTTTTAAGGTTTTCAAAACAGCTAAAAAATGATTTCGATGGATCCTTTTTGTTTTGTTACGGGAGTTAGACCAAATTAACGCAGGCGTTCAAAATACAGACATATTAATTGCACTGTTATTTATGGCATTATATTTTAAATAAAGTGAATCTATATCAGATCTCATTGATTTCAAAATAGATTGTTATATCAATCTATAACATTTATAGATTATTTCAACTGATGATATTACATGATAGCACCACGAGTGTAAAAGCTTGCAACAAAATTATCCTTTGATATCTTGATTGCTTGAGATTCTATCTTATTATATGCTTGTTATTTTTTCTTCGCCCCACATATTTGACACAGAGAAATGATTCCTCATTTAACTGATTTTTCTAGTTGACTTGCAAGGATAATTACGTTATTTTCAAGTTTTTCACGAGAATTTCGACTAATTCAGACTTCAGATGTCACTGTGGTCTTTTTTACTGTCAATCCATCATCAATTAGAACGCTCAAGAAAAACGTCAAGAAAACGCTCGAAGATAACCTTCATGATATATAGTAATA